GCCTAGGTCTTAAACTCTCTTCTGCTTTAGCCTTCAGAGTAGCTGGGATTTCAGGCATGTGGCACCACATTTGGCTGTTTGGGTATCTGGTATCTTCCATCCATCATCTCTTAAACATTGCCTCTGCCTGTTTTCTTTATCGTAGGTCCAGTGTTAAATGCTTCTCTCTCACCCTACTTATCATTTTTGTGTTTCCATGCAATGCATTCTGGATATTTTCTTTCCATCTATCTTCTTTTATCCTAATTCTTTCTTTGGCTGTGTTTAATCCCACTTAAAATCCATCCCTTGAACATTTTTTCAAACCCCCTATCATTTTCAAAATATAACAACATGCTAAAGGGCATACAGCATTACACACATAAAAGTGAAACTGAACTATGCAATTTAATGAATAATCAGAAACCAAAAATGTGTGTGGGATCAGCACTCACAGATCAAGACATAAAACCTCTGGGTTTTACACCTCAGTTATCATCACATTCTCTTCCAGAGCTTCTGTTTGGTTTTGTATGAATTTGTTGTAATTGTAATCCTTTGTCACTTCATGGTCATTTGTGATGTTTCAAGCTTGTGTCTTCCTCCCTCCCTCCCTTCCTTTTTTCCTTCCTTCCTTCCTTCCTTTTTGTAAGTAAGCATGATTGGCTTTCAGTCTGTGTCTGCTAATTCTGATGCCTGAAATGTCTGGGAGTTTGTTTTTGTGGAGTTTGGCTGTTGCTGCTGTTGCCCATGGTGTCTTAGTCTCTTGTGTGCCCAGTGTGTGAGGTCATAGTGTTTGCAAAATTAGGCTCAGGGACAATTTAAGGCATGTGACAAGGCTCCCTCCCTCCCTGCCTCCTTCTCTTTCTTCCTTCCTTCCTCCCTCCCTCCCTCTCTCCCTCCCTTCCTTCCTTTCTGAGGCTGGGTCTCACTATGTAGTTCAGGCTGGCCTTGAACTCAGTATGTAGCCCAGGCTGGCCTTGAATTTGCAGTGATCCTCCTGCCTCAGCCTCCCAAGTGTTGGGATTACAGGTGTGGGTCACCACAGCTGGCTAAGGTTCCCTTTCTGGAATGGACTTTTGTTGCTTCTGACATGCACTTGGTTTTCTACCCATCCGGCCCCCCATTAACCCAGGCCTGGGGTTCCTTTGAAACCTCAGCCCGTTCATACCCTAGCTGTGGGTGCTCGTCCAGGCTCGTCCACTTCCAGCCGCTCCTGAGGATGTTGTCCTTGGGGTTCCAGCTGACTGTGGCTGCCTGGCTTTTGTTTCTGTTCCCCTCATTCTTCACGAATGGGAGCAGAGCTTTCTGGGGCTTTAGGCAAAAGTGGCTCTCATGTGCACACCTCTCCCCGAGTTCCCCCTTTCCCGCCATGTTTGTTTGAACACTCCTTAGTGTCTTATAAACCCTCAATGCTTTTGACAATATTTCTCTCCGTTAGACAAAGATATTTGGACTTCTCAAGCTCTCCTTCACTCAGAGCAGAGCCCACTATTACCAGAAGTCTGAGTTCTTTTTCTAAATAGGAAGTCCGGCCCTGTCTGTCCTCCATTTGGAAGCTGTGATGGCCCCAGCTGCCTTCATAAGGATGCCACTCTTGACTCGTCTCCAAGGTCCTGGCAGGTCTGCTCGTCACCCTCCTCCCCCAGCTCACCTCTTCCCCTCACCTGGCTCTTTCTGCCTTAGCTGCACTGAGCTGTGCCAGTCTCTGAGTCTTTCCTCGGAGATGAATTTCCTCCCCTCCTAGCCTGGCCAAATTCTGGCTGCCCTCATAGTTACACAGCACTTCCTCCATGAAACCTTCCCTGACTGCCTCACACTGACCTTTTGCTAAGTCAGGTGGTTCCTCTAGGTTCCCTTGGTCCCCCGTACATCCCCCTTGCAGTGCTGGTGACATTGGTCTGTGGTTACCAGCTTCAATTAAACCGTGGGTTTGGTCTGTATTTATGGGAGGGGTAGACGAATGGATAAATGGATGATATGGTGAGTGGATAGATGGGTGGATGGATGGATGGATGGATGGATGGATGGGTAGATGGGTGGATGGATGGATGGTGGATGGATGAATGTGTAGATGGGTGGATGGATGGATAGATGGATGAGTGGGTGGGTACATGGATGGATGGATGGATGGGTAGATGGGTGGATGGATGGATGGGTGGGTGGGTGGATGGATGG